ATCGCGCAGGATTTCGAAAGCGACCTGAGGTTGCCCCGCGCAGGCATCGTGCGCTGCAGGAGGCGGGAAGCTACCCGGAGCGTCTGTTTGAAGATGCGAACCTCGGTGCCCACGTTCACACTGAGTCACCGTCGTGCCCAAAGACATCCAGCTGGCTCGCCGGATACCCAGAGAGAGCTGAAGTGAAGGCAGTTTTTATGGCGTTTTGTAGCAAATTCTGTAAAATACGTTGGTTTGTGACTTTTGTAAGACATTTGTTTATAATATGTTGCATTTGTGCTCAAGTCATTCCATCTTTCACCTGGGAGGGATGCAAAGAGTGACCGTCCACAGACCTCAGTGATGTGAGCACCGCTGCTCGTGAGTGACCAGCTGCTAATGTGCAGAAGCCCTGGGTGATATTTCTTGCTTCTCATGACGCATGTTTCTGTATGTTCATGACTTGTTGGGTAGCTATGAAGGCACTAGAATTGATCAATGTCTACAGGGTCCTTTTGCAATAAAACTGGTTGTAACAGCCGGGTGCAGTGGCTCGCGTCTGTAATCCCAGAACTTTGGGATGCCGAGGAGGGCGGAATACCGAGTCAAGAGATCAAGACCATCCTGACCAACAGGGTGAAACCCCATCTCTACTACAAATATAAAAATTAGCTGGGTGTGGTGGCGCGTGCCTGTAGCTAAAGGAGAATTGCTTGAACCCTGGAAGGGGAGGTTGCAGTGAGCTGAGATGGCGCCACTGCACTCCAGGTCACAGAGCGAGACTCCGACAAAAAACAAACAAGCAAACAAAAAACTGGTTATGACTTGATCCAAGTGTTTAACAATTAGGGCTGTTAAGTTTGACCATACCTTGCTGTGATAGAATGTGGGCTTTTTCAAGGGTGAAGATAGGAGTCTTAACCACAGTGTAACTTAAAGTTTCCTTAAAAAAAAAAAAAAAAAAAAAAAAAAAAAAAGTAAACCTGGTTGCTATAGAATACACTGTGCATTTACAATAGTTATTTAATATATTGTAAACATTAAAAAAGTTTTACATTTACAAGTGAAAAAAAGAGATGGTTGACATAATTTGGCTGTGTCCCTACCCAAATCTCATCTTGAATTGTAGTTCCCACAATTCCCACGTGTTGTGGGAGGGACCCAGTGGGAGATAATTGAATCATGGGGCAGTTCCCCCATACTGTTCTCACGGTAGTGAATAAATCTCATGAGATCACATGATTTTATAGGGGGTTTCCACTTTCCCTTGGCTCTCATTCCCCTGCCTGCTGCCATGTCAGACGTGTCTTCCACCATGATGTGAGGCCTCCCCAGCCACGTGGAATCATGAGTCAGTTAAACCTGTTTTTCCTTATGAATTACCCAGTCACAGGTATGTCTTTATCAGCAGCATGAATATAGACTAACATAAGCATACTCTTAGTTAACAATCTTTGCTTTTCTCTGGTCAAACAGGTTTGAATTTTAACTGAAGAACAGCCTTTTGAGCAAACATGAAGTTTTTAAGGGGTTTTAAACTATCTGAAGTAAATGTAACAATATTTAATGGAGGAAAATAAGCTATGGCTTATGAGTGTTACTGGGAAAATATTGGCATTTTGTGGAGTATCCTATGTAGAAGTGTTAGAGTAAATTAAAATGGAGACCAGACCTGAAGAATCCCTGGGCAGACAAAAAGAGTCAGGCCTCATAAATGACCTCAACCTTGCTTGCTTTGCAAACAAGCAGAACTTAACTTGAGCTATTTGTTGTAAACGTCTGTATTGAAGAAAAACAGGGTTTAAACTCAACTGACCAGAGCAGGCAACAAACCTACATAACCAGGGACCTTCCAAGGGAACAGATCCAATGAGGCACGTGTAGCTGGAGCCACAGACTCTGCACCTGTCCTATGGAAGCCTTCCCCACGCTTCCCCCAGTGGAGCTCCTGAACCACATCTGGTTTGGAGCTGCCCAGTTCATAAATCATTGTTTGATCAAATACATTATTTAAAATTTAATTGTGCCTCAGCTTACTGTTCAACAGAATGAATTTTTAGAGATTTCAACATTCAAATCAGAGTTCTGTGAAAGGCTGATAGATGTGTACTGATATCTTATTAATGTTTCCCCAGAGTGACCTAAGACATGAAGCATCTTTGCATGTACTTATTTGCCACTTGTATGTATTATTTGGTGATGTGTATGATCATTTGCCCATTTAAAAAACGTATGCTTTATTATTGAATTTTGAGAGTTCTTTACATATTATGAATATTAAAACCTTTATCAGATATGTGATTTATAAATATTCATCAACAGTCCATTCCTTCACAGTGCTGAGTAGTATTACAGCATGCGATGTCCCACAGGAAGTGATGTCCATTCCCCTGTGGATGCTGAATCTCCCTGAAGTACAATTTCTTTTTAAAAACTCCCTTTGGTTCCTAGAATCATGTGTTCTTGAGAGGCATTCATTGCTCTTTTATGATGCAGATTTTTCTAAGTATCTGGTGCTTCTTGCTCTCTGGTTCACATTTTCTAAAAAGGACCAGAAAGGCTGAGCAGGAGCTGTAATTGTGGGGGCCCCATGCCCCCGCCGGGCTTCCCTGCAGCTTGAGGCAGGAGGTGACCAGCCATTATGGGACAGGATCCCTAAAGACCAAAATGTGGAGACTTTATTTTGTTTCCTGGGATGCCAATACCTCGTTGCTCTGCTTTTCCCCAATGAGTTAATTTTTGTGTTAGGAGAGACCGCCTCCTCAGCCCACCTTTCTCTTCCCCGGCAATGGGCACGTCACTCATTTCTGGGCTCTCCGTGTTCTCCGTGGGGAGTGGGAGTGCAGAGGACACTGCTGTCTGCTGCGTGCCCCATGTTTAGCTGGTCTCATTGTGAGGTGCTCATTTCCCTTCCGCCCTCTGTCAGCCCAGGCATGAGGACCCATGGTCTCAGCGGTGCGCCATGGCCCTCCGCCCTGCTGCATCAGGCCCGTCTCGACCCAGGCTGTGGTCCGTCTGCAGTGATGACTTTCTCTCACTTTATGGGGCTACTCCCCTACTTAAATTCCTTTGAGGTGATTTCAACTGGGGTCAGGATAGGGAGTGGAGAAGGAAAGGTGTATGTTCAGCTCATCAGATTTAACTGAAAGCTCTCAAGGCTACTTTTAAAATCATAAAAGCCGTTCCCAATAAGTTTGTTTGTTTTAAAGGAAATCTCCTTTCCAAATCACTGTAGATAATAAACAGCAGTTGCAAAAAAACAAAAACAGAAAACACAATGAAAGACTCTTTCCATGTAACAATTAGTAAAAGAATTTGAGCTAGCTTATTAAATGGCAAAGTCTATTTATTATGTTTTTAAAGACAGCTAAAACAAATGGCATTTAAAAACTTTCAGATGAGACGATAAGGCAAAGAAATGACCGATGAATTCATCAAGATAAAGAGTAGTATGGCAATGTGTTGATCCAAGGAGAATTTAAGTCATGAAGCATTCCACAGGAAGATTATTTTATATTGATAACAGGTACAGGCTGAGGGAGAAGCTTTGCAAAACCACAACAGCAAAACAGAAAGCAAAAATTATTAGAAGGAAGATTAGCTACAGAAGAAAAAAAAAGGCTGTTGAGAATTTTAACAACATAATTATTATGTTTCAATTAACAAAGAATAAAGAGGATAAATCTTAAAAAGTGGTCTTGTTAATTTACGGAAGGTGATCATTCTTTACACTATGAGAGAAAACTCAAAATCCACAAAGGAAAAATTTCACAGACAATAATCTCTACTATATCCACATGCAGGGAAGAGAACAAAACACTAGCTCTAGAGGACAAAGAGAAACCACCTGAGACCAGAGCATATTGATGGCGCATGGTGAGTGACCCATGGCCTAAAGGTGCCTGCTAAGGACCCAGGAGGCCCTTGCATGGGAACAGCAGCTCACTCCCTAGGAACCACCACCAGCATCCCTCCCTGCCTGAGGATGTCACCCGGTGGGCTGGGTTGGAACAAGTCCGGATGCCTTTGCTTAGCCTTGGAAGGACCGCGTGGAGCTTCCTCCTCTCCATTTACACACAGCAACTGGCATGAAGGCTGGAAGTTTTTCTCAGGCCATGACTGCACAATGGCTACCCCAGACCTCTGTGGCCTCCGAGAGAGGGCTCCAAGACAGATCTCAGCCCTATGGAGTTAGGAGGCAACACTGCTGTTGACCTTGAAGGGAGCACTGTAGGGGCTATAGAAGGGATCGTGACATTTGTTGCTCTTTAAATGCCATCAAAGACAGTCGTAAATTCTAGTCTCATACACATGTGGCAAGAGGTAGCCAAAGAGGTAAATTTAAAATTAGAAAAATTGTCAGCAGTTTTTACCCAGAGTTTGAAATTCTGACCTGTTATATGGTGGGATACTTCAATCTCCGTTTTTTGTGGTTTTTTTTTTTTTTTTTTTTTGAGATGGAGTCTTGTATTGTCGTCTAGGCTGGAGTGCAATGGCGCAATTTTGGCTCACTGCAACTTCCACCTCCTGGGTTCACATGATTCTCCTGCCTCAGCCTTCCAAGTAGCTGGGATTACAGGTGCACACCACCACACCCGGCTAATTTTTTTGCATTTTTAGGAGAGATGGAGTTTCACTATGTTGGCCAGACTGGACTCGAACTCCTGACATCGTGATCCGCTTGCCCTGGCCTCCCAGAATGCTGGGATTACAGGTATGAGCCACTGTGCCTGGCTGCTGCTTCTTTTTTTTAAAATTTCTTTTTTTAAATTTTTTTCCTCCAAGATGGCGTCTCACTCTGTTGCCCAGGCTGGAGTGTAGTGGCTCTATCTCAGCTCACTACAACCTCCTCTTCTCAGGTTCAAGCAATTCTCTGCCTCAGCCTCCCGAGTAGCTGCGATTACAGGCATTGGCTACCTTGCCCAGCTAATTTTTTTATTTTCTTTTTTTAGTAGAGATGGGGTTTCACCATCTTGGCCAGGCTGGTCTTGAACTCCTGACCTTGTGATCCACTTGCCTCAGCCTCCCAAAGTGCTGGGATTATAGGCGTGAGCCACTGTGCCCGGCCTCGTTTCAGCTTATTTAAAATGCTACTTTTTAGATAGCTTGCGAAATTACTAGGAAAAAAAATTCCTAGAGGACATCTTGAAAATGATGAATTAGCAGGAAAATTTCAAAGATGTGACTTAGTTATAAAGTCCCTGATAAATGCATTGGAAAGCTTCAAGTTGACAATAATTTCATTGAAAATGCACTTAAAACAAAAATGGAATTAGAACTTTTCTGAACTTTGGATACTCTTCAAAGTTCTGGAGGTACCACCTAAAAATAAGAAAAAAACATTAAAAAAGGAAATAATTCTGTCACTTAAACATTTAACAGATGCTAACAAAAGTGACACTATAATTCTTTATAAAATACTGAGTTTTTTAAATATAGTAACAAAAACTTTGGCATTTCATACCTATAGTTTGATTTTGCCTATAACATGAAGAATTAAATATGTCTAATCATAAAATATGATTTGGAAGAAGTAGCCCATAGAATTCACCTTTCTATCTGGAAGGAAAAGTACTGACATTTGATGAAAATACTGATCAGCACATTGTGGGGCTACCTTTTCAGCCCCCGGGGAAAGCATGCGGGCTGGAGGAGGGGCAGGACCAAGGAGGTGCTTCCTGAATCTCTGCTGGTGACTCTCGCAGTTTTCTCCCGCCTGTAGTCGAGAACTACTGGCCCAGCCCGGGGTGTGCAGAGTGAGTACCAGCACATGCCAGGGGGCTCCTGAACAGCTCTTAGCAAGGATTCAGTGAAATCTGGGGAAATGCAATATGGCATTGTCCACAATTCAGCCCTGTGCTCGAAGCAAACAGTATTTTCTGTTTTGATATAAATTATATTAACAAAAATGCTCATTTGTTTTGGGGGTAATAGTTGGGAAAGGTAGCAACTAAGTGGAGTAAAAATTAAAAATAGTTTGACAGGATGGATAAATGGTCATAGAAAGGGACTTTCTACAAACACACAGAGGAAGATTAAACAACAGACTAAAAATAATGATAGCAATTAGCTCTGTGTTAATGTGGTAGAAACAGATGAGGATAAGAAACAGAGTGAGTTGCTGGTCTTAGTTCTAAGTTTAACACCAGAATCCACAAATAGAGAATGAGAACATACTGGGCTACCATGTTTACTTTAGTATGTTCTGTGTCCCCAGAAACGCATGTAATAGGAACAATTCTAAGAAGTTGGTCAGGATTCCGGGTCAAGCATCATTTCCCCTGGCATGAGGCTTCAAGACTGCAGCCTTTCCAGCTGTGTGGCTCAATGGTGGTGCATGGACCCGAGAGTGCCCATCACACAATGTGGCCAAGCCTACCAGCCGGTGTGAAACCTGCAGAAGTGTGTTGCAAACATGTTCGCTGGTTAGGTGCTGAAGGTTTTCACAGGCCTGCTGCGATCCAGGCCAGCTACCACCTGCACGTGCTGAAAAGCTTCCCCACGCTCCAGCGGCACAGGGCACCGCACAGGGACACGGAGGGGTGAGCTCCTCTCGCCCAGAATCTGCCTGTGGAAGATGGGTACTTTGGGCTGAAAAGGCGAGGGCAGAGCACACAACAGCAGGAGAGCCTAAAATGGACAAACACAAGAGGGTGGGCAGGACACAGGAGACACAGTACAGCCACAGGACCCCCAGAAGACGCCCTCCCCAGGCTGGGCAGCGAGGCTGGGCTCCGTGACAACAGAGGGAACATGTGTGAGGTCAGGATGTTCTCACACAGTGCAGGGATGTTGGCTGAAGCGGTTAAATGCATTTCACAGAAACCATTATATAGAAATAAATTATTTCTTGTTAAATGATTAAATGTGTCTCACTCCTTAGAATACCTTTAAATGTTGCCCTTAAAGAGAATATTTGTTAGCAACCCAGCACGGCTGGCTAACTGTTCCTGACCTAGAGTTTAACTATGAATGCAATCATTTATAAATTTAAATACTAATTATTATAGAAAGAATTTCATTGTAATACAATATTGTTTTTAGAACATTATAATCAATCAAATGGAGTGGAAGGCGTAGCTCCTTAGTATGATTTATTTTGGAATGAGCTTATTTGATGGCTTAATTCATTGGGTTTATGAAAATATTTTTTTAAAAGTAGTTTTTATTTTATTCGCAGCTTGTAAGCCCTTCATTTCTGAACATTCTTCTGCAAAACTGAATTGATTAATTCTTCAGACTTAAAACTGGTTTCACACTGACACCAATTTAAATAGCAAATGAATGACAAAGAGCTCTTTCAACTCATGAATTCTTCTGCAAAGAACACCTCTGGGTTTTCATTAGCAAAGACTTTCATTTAGATAACTGACTTGTTTATTTTCCATTTCTATATGTTTCATATTCAAATACTGAGAGGGGTTTTCCTGTTTTCATCTGAGAAAATATCTTTACCACTGACTTGGTAGGCCCTTGTTCAATCTTACTCTGATTCATGTTTTCTTAAAGTCAGTGTTATCTCATTTGTTTTTATTATTAGAAGTGAGCCACCGGTTGCCTCTTCACACCAAATATTAGGAATGTAAAAGAACGGAGTCTTCACCTGGAAGTGCGGCCCAGGCCGGTGCAGCACTGGGAGGAGGCGGGCAGAGGGGAGGCAGTCAGACTCTAGAATGTGTATTCAGAGCGGTAACGTATTTCAACCAAACCTGTGACAAAGTCGCCTGGCGGAGGACAGAAGAGAAGTCTTCACAAATCATACTCCTCTGCTCTTACTTTCCTAGTCGATTTTAAACGGCCAGAATGCTGGTGTATCAGCTCCCTGCAGCTGCTGGAACAAAGCTACCACACACTGGCCGGCTTATAGCAACGGCCATTGATTCTCTCCCAGGTCTGGAGGCCAGAAGTTGGAAATCAAGGCGGCGGCTGGGCTGCGCTCCCTCTGAAGGTTCAGGGAAGGTGCCAGTCCCATCCCCGCAGTTCTGGTGGCGCCACGTGTTCCTGCATCACCACTGCCTTTGTGTCCATCTTCCTACGGATCTTCCCATTGAACACCTGGTGTTCCCCCTTCTCAGAAGGACGTTAGTCATACCGGATTAGGCCCACCCTGCTCCACCTCATCTCAACTAATTAAATTCCCCATAAAGTTTCTTTCACAGGTACTAGGGCTTAGGACTCCCATGTGAACTTTCGGCAGGCACAGTCCCCAGCACAGAAGGCACATTCCTGGCCCACAGTGTTTTCTGCCATGCCTGGCATCGAGCCTCCTTCTCAAACCCTCTCTGCCTTCGGCACTTGCTCAACTTTCTGCAGACCCCTCTGTTTGTCTCAGCAGCTCTGGGATTTAGGTAGGTTGTGGCTCTCTGATCTCGCTCTCTCCTCACTGTCTATGCGTGAAACTACCAGGCCACTGGCCTGATGGAGTGTCTCCAAAGAATGAAGGGCGCCGCTCTTAGAGATCTCATCAGCTCTCGCATTTACACTATCACTTCTTCAAATGTTAGACAAAAAGGCCACCAGGCATGTTGGCTCATGCCTCTAATCCTAGCACTTTGGGAGGCTAGGATGTGAGGATTGCTTGAGTCCAGGAGTTCAAGACCAGCTTGGGCAATATAGTGAGACCTCAACTCTATAAAAAATATAAAAAATTAGCCAGACATGGTGGCATGTGCCTGTGATCCCAGCTACTTGGGAGGCTGAAGTGGGAAGATAGCTTGAGCCTGGAAGGTAGAGGTGACAGTGAGCTGAGATTGTGCCACCGCACTCCAGACTGGGTGACAGAGCAAGATGCTATCTTAAAAAAATAATTAGACAAAGAGATACTTCAGATCTGACTTTTCTTATTATCTCCAATAATCATCCTTTGCATCTGCAAACACATGGTGAGGCTGGGAAGTACACCTAGGTACCTTTCCCACTATCCCATGGTATCAATCTATTCTTCTTTTAGCTTTTTCTCTCTGTCCTTAGTCTCAAAAGAAACGGTAAACTCCATGAAGTAGGACAGCGTTATACATTTCTGCACACCTCGTAGCATCAGCAGCATTGGAGATTTCGATGAGTTGTTTTGAGTGGATGATGCAGGTGGCTCAGGGGACATGGTAAATGTGTACAACAGGCTGGCTGCTTGCTAAGCTCAGTCTCCATCATTTGTTGTCAGGGACATGCGCCAACATCAGGGCAGGTAAAGGTCCCATGCTCCTGCTGAGATCTCTTTCCGACAATGGGACGGAGTTCCTGGCTGGCCTCAGACTCTACTCCTGCTCCTTGAATCTCAGTTTCCTCATCCACTGGATTAGAAAGGATGTTCTGTAAATTTACTTCAGCCTTTACATCCTTTGATTTCTTTTTTTTTGAAAATGAGTCTTGCTCTATTGCCCAGGCTGGAGTGCAGTGGCACGATATAGGCTGACTGCAACCTCCACCTCCATGGTTCAAGCGATTCTCCAGCCTCAGCCTCCTGAGTAGCTCGGATTCTATGCACCTGCCACCACGCCTGGCTAATTTTTTGTATTTTTAGTATAGCAGGGTGTCACCATGTTGGCCAGGCTAGTCTTGAATTCCTGACATCAAGTAATCTGCCCACCTTGGCCTCCCAAAGTGCTGGGATTACAGGTGTGAGCCACTGCACCTGGCCCCTTTGGTTTCTTTATGAGTTTGTTGGTCAAATGGCTCGCAAGCACTTTGGAGGATCAGATAAAAGTCAAGGACCTGCTCTCTGGAAAATGATGTCATTTCAGGGGGTACACAGAGCCTCTGTAGCTCATCAAGGATCCCAGGTTCAGAGCCATGACCTAAGCCACCTCATAGCTAGAGAGCTCCTGTGTGCCCGAGTTCTGCCGGTGTGGGCTGACTATGGGATTCACCTTCCTCTTCAGGACTTCCTCGACCTGCAGCATTCACGATCCGGCCATTGGCTTTGCTTGGTCAGGGTTCTGTTTCATTCAGCCTTTTCCCATTCAGAGCGCTGAGTCCTCTGCATGGTGTCTAACTTGACCATTGACTCCAGCAATGTCAATTCAGAGAGGCTAAGGACGTAGTACAGAGAACAGCTGTGTGGCTGTGGATCTGACGACCCGTTAGAGCTGGGTGATTCTACAGCTATTGGTTTGGTTTTGTACTTTATTGGCGAAAGCACAGAATAAACTGGGATTCAGCAATTTAACTATTCAAAAATCTAGCCTGAAAATAGTAATAACATAGTCAAAGAACAAATTATAAATAGGAAAAGTGTTTTAAAACTTACTTATGATACCCTTTTGCTCTACCAGATAAAAAACAAAATGTGAAGAAAGCAAAAGCCGCGCCTTCAATGGACCAGCTGGCCAGAGCATAGCCCCACCACTCCACGATTTCTCCAAAATAGTTGGCCGCAGTTACGTATTCAAATAAGCCTCCTAGAAGAAAACACAGACCAAGGTAATGCATTTACCACAAAATGAAATACTGACTTCAGAGATGCTAGTGAATACTTACCTGGAGAACATAACATCTAGAACGGAAAAATATACCCTTAGAGAACGTTCAGCAATAAGACATATTCAGTGTTACGTGGTCTACTAATTTATATCACGACTTCTGATCATCAACTACATATCTATATCAATACCCATCTCCGTGAGAATATACACACATACAGTTCCAGTGGAAAATGCCAGTAGACCATGCACCTGCTGATGAATCATGCAAGCACAGAGAATACAGCAAAGCAACTGACAACGAACTAGCCACATAAAACGGACCTAGGTAGAACCCTTGAGCAATGAGTGATGACGATATTCATTTTCAAGCACAGATCCATTCATTCATTCACCACATCTTCACAAATGCACTGAGTCAGTATTATGGGCCAGGCCCTGCCCAGGCACTTGGACAGACCCCTCTCCACATCCAGAACCATAAACTCTAGTGTCATGAACAAGGAGGGCACGCAGCACGCGGAGGGGAGGAGCAGCGAGAGGCAGAGCAGAGTGAGGGGGCCCAGAGCTGGGATAGGGGAAGAAGGTCACCATCACAGGGTGGCTGGGAACAAGCCTCACGGGGAAGGTGAGGGTCAATTCAGGGCTTGCAGGTGAGGGCCAGGCTGGCAGGTATTGGGGGTGCTCTCAGGAGTGCTCCAGGCAGGGGAAGAGATGCAGCACAGGACCCAAGGCAGAGAGCAATGGTTGGTACACTCCAAAGACCAGAGGAGGGGCGGGAGAGGGGTCCCGGTAGAGCAGGAAGGCAGGAGGCCCCTCTGTGGAACTCATCCTTATGCTGTAGCTTTGTGGCCACTCAAGTGTGTTCTAGAGAGGCCTGGTGTGGTCTGCGCCAGGTTCTAATTGGGCACTATGTCTGCAGAGCTGAGAAAATGCTGAAGGCATATAAGCACAGAGCATTTAAAAAAAAAAATTAGGCCAGGCACAGTGGCTCACGCCTGTAATCCCAGACCTTTGGAGGGCTGAAGCAGGTGGGTCATGTGAGGTCAGGAGTTTGAGACCAGCCTGGCCAACATAGTGAAACCTTGTCTCTACTGAAAATACAAATGTTAGCCAGGTGTGATGGTGAACACCTGTAGTCCCAGCTACGAGAATCGCTTGAACCCAGGAGGTGGAGGTTGCAGTGAGCTGAGATTGTGCCACTGCACTCCAGCCTGGGTAACAGAGCTAGACTCTGTCTTAAACAACAACAACAACAACAACAACAACAACAACAACAACAACAAACAACAAACCATTACACTCTAAAGTCATAAGACCAATTTCAACAAATGTCGTAGCAGAGGGTGGAGACTACATTACTGAGCACACTGCAATTTACATGCATGAGGGCTTTGGCTGGAGCTGAGATGGTCTACCTTTTATTTTTTATTTTTTTTGGAAACAGAGTCTTGCTCTGTCACCCAGGCTGGAGTGCAGTGGCATGATCTCAGCTCACTGCAATCTCTACCTTCCACATTCAAGTGGCACATGCCATGTGCCACCACACCTGGCAAAGTTTTGTATTTTTAGTAGAGACAGGGTTTCACCATGTTGGTTACACTGCTCTGAAATTTTTGACCTCAGGTGATCCACCTGCCTTGGCATCCCAAAGTGATGGGATTACAGACATGACCCATGGTGCCCAGCTTGAGATGGTCTACTTTTTAAAAAGAAAGACGATGGTTTTGCTGAGCCCAAGAGAGCAAAGTGTTTTACTTTTTCTTATTTAAGGAAGGTGGGGTGTGTAGATGTTTGCAATATTGGGCTCTCTACTACTTGGCTGTAAGCAGTCATAGCCATTCATATCAACCCAGTCCAGGATTCATATCCTTTGCTTTTTCATTTCCATCTTCTAACATGCTTCAGTGGTGTTTGTTTTGGTCTTGTGGGACTTTTAATTTAATGATTAAAAATAAGGAATGGACTATGAACATCATATCTCGTCTGATCTTGGAAGTTAAGCAAGGTCGAGCCTGGTTAGTACTTGGATAGGAGAAACTACAAATTTTAGAAGCATTTTCTTCCCAGAGTCTTCTGTGTCCCATGTCATCTGCACTGATGTCTGGCGTCACCTCCTGCTGCCTGGGCGTCACAGCCAAGCTTCTGCGTCTCCTTTGGCCTGTCTATTCTCAGAGATGCCATTGATGGCCACGGGCTGTCGGGAAGCTGGGGTGATTACTTGCTGCAGGAAGGAGGCTGTGCGTGGCGGGGAAACATGGCACAGAGGGGTCTCCCTTTACTGCAACAGGAATAAGCTAAGTTTGTAGATTGTGGATTTGTCATAGGTGTTCTTTAGTTGATGGGTATAGACCCTGCAACTGCTCCATTCACATTTTATTTTATTTTTAATTTTTTTGAGATGGAGTCTCACTCTGTCACCCAGGCTGGAGGGCGGTGGCGCGATCTCGGCTCACTGCACCCCATGCCTCCCAGGCTCAAGTGTTTCTTGTGCCTCAGCCTCACAAGTAGCTGAGATTATAGGTGCCCACCACCACGGCCAGTTAATTTTTGTGTTTTGTGTTTTTAGTAGGGACAGGGTTTTGCCACATTGGCCAGGCTGGTCTCGAACTCCTGAGCTCATGTGATTCCACCATTCACTTAGATCTTGTTCTCTGATGACGACTTCCTTTCTTGATAGTATACTGATGCATTTAAAAAGATTTTGAAAAAAATCCAACATTTTAAACTGTTTTCAGAGGAGGGTTAAAGTATCTATTCTATTATAATGCTAGAAACAGAAGTGTCAGACACTCCTCGTCAACCGTAAATTCTTCCTCATACTCTCTTTCCAAGCACAGATATAACTGGAGTTTCTGCTGTAATAACTGTTCAGTTAGCCAGATTTGTTTTTTCCTGTTATTCTAATAAGACAATAACAATAGCACTTGTTATTAATAATGATGACTTACACTGAAAACTTATAGCTAATAAATACGACTACTTCTTAGAGCTAGCAACACTAAAATAGTAAGGCACCATGCCACTCAACCTTCACATAAATTCTTCACTTTCAGTACATACCCCTTGGTATTTTGTATCCAGTGTCTCCTGGTTTTCTGAGATTCCTTAGGATATGATCTGAATGGATGTTTATCAACATGCCCATTAACCACAAGCCAAAACCTAAAGGAAAAAAAATTACAAGATGATTATGGCTAATAAACCATAAAATTTCACTATGAGCCCCAGCCTGGCTGAACAGTATTACTGTAACCCTTCATATTACCATTGGTAGTGCAACATATTGGCCATAACTGGTAGTAAAAACCACTAAACACTATTGTCTGGTAAGCTAAGGAGGGCTTTTTCAAATAATACAAATAAATTATCTAGTGTATTCAGAATACTTGGACCTGATCATCACAATCTGATTTCAGGATGACAGATATGGATAGAAATCTGACTTGGGCACAAGTCTCCTTTCCAGGGAGCATCAGGGAGCCAGCCCGGCAGATAGGCTCACCCTACTTATTTCTCACCATCTGTGCGCGGCAATGCTACCGTCTCTACCACATGCAGCAGGAGGGGAGAGGCACTCGGGCTGCTCTGTCGCCATGGGTTGCATGCTGCCTCTTGAGGGGTGGCAGCTCCCAGGAGCTGACCTCTGGTCTTCTTCTCTTACTTACAACCTCATTTGAACAAATTAATGCATATCCATGCTTCGCCCACAGCAGAACTCCTGCAGGCTCATCAATCAGCATTCCTCGGTCAGCTCTTCCTCCTCTGTTCCCAACAAGTCTCCCATGCTGGCTGCATGATTCTCCCCAGAATCCTGTGGTTTCCCCAGTTTTCTCTCCTATTCTTACAAATCTTTGGGAATTTTTTATCACTTAAAGGAGAGTTCTTAATATCACATCAATTAATTCCATCAAGAAAAGGCAAAATGCCAAAAGTGTTTTATAAAAGAAATACTGATAAAAAGAGGTTAACTTGATAGTTCTGAGATACTTTTTGAAAACTGTGAAAGGCAGATGCTGCTTAATGGTGGCATTCAATTTAATATTAAATAAATGTACACCTGGGGTATCATTATTATTTTATTCATCACATCAGACATTGAATACTTTTTCAAAGTTAGAACAAGGATATAGAATACCTGGTGTATAGCAAGCGTTCCACGATTTCTTCCTTCTGATTTTGCCACTGTAAGCAGCTTTTTAAGAACATTTTTTCTCAGCAGTTCATACCAAATTTTATAATAGGTTTTATAAGCCATTTATTGGATCCATACATTTATAGATGATTTGCTACCTTTTTTGGTATTAGTATTTCACCCCTAGGTAATTTGGCTTCCAATATGAGGTTCTAGAAAGAAAGCATGCTGTCTAAATAGCATGGCTACTTTATGTTTCTTCTAGGAGACAAGCTCCCTTTATTGCTTAGATTGGAAGAAAACTAGTACTTGTGTTCACCTAAGGTAAATATTTAATTCTATTTATAAGAATCTTAAAATCCGACTGGGTGCAGTGGCTCACACCTATAATCCCAGCACTTTGAGAGGTCAAGTTGGGTGGCTCACTTCAGGCCAGGGGTTCAAGAGTAGCCTGGCCAACATGGTGAAACCCCGTCTCTACTGAAAATACAAAACTTAGCCAGGTGTGGTGGCACATGCCTGTAATCACAGCTACTTGGGAAGCTAAGGCACGAGAATTGCTTGAACCTGGGAAGTGCAGGTTGCAGTGAGCCAAGATTGTGCCACTGTACTCCAGCCTGGGTGACTGGGTGACAGAGTGAGACTCTGTCTTAAAAAAAAAAAAAAGAATCTTTCTATAAAATATTTTAGATTACCCACTTTTGCTGTTATGGAAAACCTTTTGTTAGAAATATGCTGGGCGCGGTGGCTCATGACTGTAATCCCAGAACTTTTGGAGGCTGAGGTGAGTGAATTACCTGAGGTCAGGAGTCTGAGACCAGCCTGGCCAACATGGTAAAACACCATCTCTACTAAAAAAAATACAAAAATTAGCTAGGCATAGTGGCATGCACCTATAGTCCAGCTACTCAGGAGGCTGAGGCATGAGAACCTCTTGAACCCAGGAAGTGGAGGTTGAAGTGAGCTGAGATTACGCTACTGCACTCTAGCCTGGGCAACAGAGTAAGACTCCATCTCCAAAAAAAAAAAAAAAAAAGAAAGAAAAAGAAAAAGAAACTTATTATTATTTGCTTAGTTCTTCATGGTAACTACAGTAGGCATACTTACTTATTGATGTAATTTCATGTATGCTTCCTCACAAAAATAATAAACTCTAGGCAATAAATGTAACACACAAAAGGTAACCTAGATTTTCTCCCAATTGGCAAATTTTTTCCTTTTCAAATCCTTCTGCTGAATTGTAGAGAAGTCAAGAAGTCTGTATACAATTTATTGGTGTCTGGAATCTCAACCAGCTTCACAGTCACCTCTATGTGATGCGACCCATCTGCAGAACTACTTTAAATAGGATTTAAATCCACAGATCAAAAGGATTTTTTTGTTGTTGTGGTTCATCATAGAAGTGAGTCCCATGAGACTCTCAGTAAACATTTAAAATCTGTATCTTTAAAAAGACAAAAGAAAGAAATTCCTCTTCCTCTTATTCCTGTTGCCACCTGTGGACACGCAGCTTGGTGAGGCGGTGGAAATCACCGCTCTGCTATTCACTGTGTCTAGATGTCTCGGGCCAGCTGTGTAACTCTTCTGACCTTTCATGTCTTATCTGAAAAGGGCATCCTTTCTGTCTCAGAGAACATGGGGAGGCATAAATCGTGTGTTCTGCACAGGAACTCAAAAGCCTGTTCCTTCTCTTGACAGGTGGGGCAGAAGAAAATGAAGTAGTCAAAAACCAGTAAATGAAGAATATATTTGTGGTTACTGTACAACAATTTAGTCCAGCATTTCATGGAGGCACAGATTTCTGGGGCTAGAAAAGGATCTTAAAACACCTCTCAGCCAACCTTCCTTTCGTAGAGGAGGGACAGATGTCTCATTGTAACAATCCTCAGGTATGAAGAAACCCTGGAATAAGATTCTAATTCACCAAAAAAAAAAAAAAAAAAAAAAAAAAAAAAGACTGAGAAATGTTGAAGGGGATCTCTCAGCCACAAGTACTATCCAAGTGTTAGTTTATTTCTGTGATTATAAATTAATACACATGAAGAAAGCAAAATGCTATGTAAGGTCACTTTATGTAGCTTAAGGTGAAACACTGCAGGGTAGTTTGCAAGTTTCATGGACTGACTTCAGAGTTTTAGCATGCTACCGTGGGGGTAAGCTACGCCTTAGTATGGTTTAATATCTAAAAGCTAGAATAGACCAAATAAATATACTGAAGAACCTTTGATTTTTGCAGAGCTAGCTGAGATTTTATTTCGGACAAAAGAAAAAAAAGCAATTGAATTATTTTGTAGCTGGAGGCATGGGCAAAGGGTGTCCCCAGGCAGTAAACTCCCTGCATGTGGGCTGAGAGCTTAGGCTGAGCTTCAGGTGGGTCTCCCTTTCGTGCTTCCCTGCTCAGCGGCCACAGGAGGGGCAGGCTGGGAGGGGCTTCTGCAGCTGTCCGCTTGGGCAGGACATCAGAGAACTCGGACACCAGCTTCCCAGCACAGGTCTCAATCTTCTTCATAACCACGGCCCTGGTAGAGCTGGTGTGGCTGAAGGAGCTGGAGCCCACACCAGAGCCAAAGCTGGGGCCCAGGCCACACCTACGGCTGGGGTTGTGAGGCCCCCATAAAAACCACCTGTCTAGCTGCTGGTGGTCTTCATATGGATACTCATGTTCTGCATCCCAGACTCCAGCCGGCTCTCCTCGCCTTCCAGCAGCTTCCTATAGGTGGTGATCTCGATGTCCTGGGCCAGCTTGACATTCATCGGCTTCTGGTACTCACGCAGCTGCTGCACCATGCCCTGCCTGGCCCGCTGTAGGGCGGCCTCCAGCTCGGACAGCCTGGCATTGGCATCCTTACCGGCCAGCTCCCCAAGCTGCTCAGCATCTGTGATGGCAGCCTCCAGGGAAGCCCTCTGGCCTTTGAGGCCCTCAGTCTCAGCCTGGAGCCAGCCGATGTTCCAGCTCCTCTCAGAGATCTCAGTCTTTGTATGCCGCAGGTCATCCTGTGCTTCCCAGCCAGCGTCTTGGTCTGGTACATGCTCTCAGCCTCAGCCCAGCTGCGGTTGGTGATCTCCTCATACTGCATCTTGACCTCAGCAATGATGCTGTCCATGTCCAGGGAGCAGCTGTTGTCCATGGACAGCACCACAGACGTGTCTGAGATCTGGGACTGCAGCTCCCAGATTTCCTCTTCCTACAGCTGCCTGAGGAAGTCGATCTGTCAGTCAGCCCTTCCAGGTGAGACTCCAGCTCTACCGTGTTCATGTCACCTCCATCCACATCCTTCATGATGAGGACAAATTCATTCTCCATCTCTGTAGCTTGTTGATCTCATCCTCATACTTGTTCTTGAAGTCCTCCGCCAGCCCCTGCATGTTGCCAAGCTCTGCCTGTAGCTTCAGCTTCTCCTGGCCCAGAGTTTCCAGCTGCCACCTAAGGTTGTTGATGTAGTTCTCGAACGGGCTGTCCATGTTGCTCTGAGCCATCTTCTGCTGCTGCAGGAGGCTCCACGTGGTCTCCAGCATCTTGTTCTGCTGCTCCAGGGACCTTCCCTTGTCGAAGGAGGAGGCAAACTTGTCATTAAGGGTCTTGATCTGCTCCTTCTCCTGGGTGCACAAGGCCTGGATGCTGGCGTACACCTCCAAGTTAATGGGGTTCAGCAGGCTCTGGTTGACCATGACGGTGGTGATGCCTCCATGCTGCTGGCCCTACCACAGCCTCCACCCAGGCTAGCCTGGAAGCTGCTGCTGCCCACTCGAGAGAAGCTTGAGGAGCTGAGGCGGACACGGGGTTCACTCACACAGGAGCAGCTGCTGAAGGCCCAGGGCCAGCGGTGGGCACCCTGGAGGACTTCTGAGTCACCCTGATGGACATGGTGGAGGCAGGAGTCAGAAGTGAAGGCAGGAGGGCTGAACCAGGTAGAGATTCCAGAAGGAGGAGAGAAGCTGCTTCTTGGAAAGAATCTTTCTTATATATAAGATTCCTGAGCTTTTTTTTTTTTTTTTTTTGACACAGAGTCTCACTCTGTCACCTAGGCTGGAACGCAGCAGCAGAATCATGGCTCACTGCAGCCTTGACCTCCTGGCCTCAGGTGATCCTCCCACCTTAGTGTCTGTGAGTAAGCTGGGACCACAGGTGTGTGTCACCATGCCCAGCTAAATTTTTGTGTTTTTTTTTAGAGATGGAGGTTCACCATGTTGCCCAGGCTGGTCTTGAACTCCTGGACTCAAGTGATCTGTCCACCTCAGCCTCCCAAAGTGCTAGGATACAGTGTAAGCCACTGCACCCAGCCAGATTATAAATTTTTAATGCTCTTGCAGATATCTTTTATGGCTGTTTTATTTTCATTTTGCTCAGATCTTATAAAGGTCTAATTAGAGGTTGAAAAGGTACATGAATTCACATTAACTGACACAAATAAAAAAATTCAACAACTTCGTAAACGTAAAAGTGATTCAGGTTCACAGAATCACAAAAGCTGCCTTGTAGGAAGATAACCCAGTCTGTTTTTTTCTCACATCACAGAAGAGACCACAGGAGTTTGGGGCTCGTCTTAGATAAGGGTGGCCAATGAGTGCTAAAATCGTCTCAACCTTTAGTCTCTGCTCATTCTGCCACAGCATGCTGCTATTTTCGGGTTCTCAGCCTGACCAGGCACCTGTGCTTCAGCCCAGCACCTGTGTCACCTCCCTGTCCCCAGCTGTGCTGAGACAGCCTGGCTCTCCCATGGGGATCCTGGGGTCCTGCTGCTCTCTCTGCTGTGAGTCTTTGTTCTCACAGGAACCTTGGACTTTGTCAAGAAAAACCACTGGGACAGCAACATAAAAGCAGTGACGTGAATGAGATGGAGTTGACTGCTGTGGACACTCACCCATTAGAAACCGGGGATCCCTCATCCAGTCATCAGCGTACACCGCACAATGGCTTAAGTATCTGCTTTGCAAATAGCCGTTACTGGTACAGAACATGATTGCCAATATACATGGAAACAGTGGCATAGGCGTTCCTTCTCGAATCAGAAATGGGTAAATTAAGGACCTGAGGAAACAAGAAACAGGTACACGTTTTTGAAAAATTAAAGATCATCATTTTTGTAATCCTATCTTAAATGATTTGAGTTTTAAATCTCACTTTCTTGTACAAATGTCATCCTCAGTAACATTCATACTGATTTATTATATTTAAGCTGAAAGTGGATTTTGATTTTAATTTTATTTTTTTGAGAGAGGTTCTTGCTGTGTTGCCCAGGCTGCAGTGCAGTGGCGTGATCATGGCTCACTGCAGCCTTGAGCTCCAGGGCTTAAGTGATCCTCCTATCCCAGCCCCAGAGTAGCTGGGACTACAAGCATGTGCCACTATATTTACTATTATTATTACTTTTCTTTTGTAGACACGAGCTCTCACTTTGTTGTCTAGGCTGGTCTCAAACTTTTGCCTCAAGTGAACTTCCTGCCTTGTCCTCCCAAAATGTTGGGATTACAGGTGTTAGCCACTGTCTCCAGCCAAAATGCAGATTTTTAAATAAAGCACTACCACATTTCAACCATGTTCACCACAGTGCACAAACTCCAGATTCTACTTACATACAACATAAAACAGAATACACTGAATTAGGAAAACTAGGGTCTTCAAGAAGGTCTCAAAATTTCCACTATCCTAAAACCATTAACCAGTCCTAGGCTGGGCAATAAGATTTGGAACACCCTATCACGTCATCCATCACCATTGCAACGGCTCCCATTCCCTGAGCATTTTCACCTGCAAACCACTCCCAGCCTCCAGCTAACCAGGCGGGAGGCACTCTTATCCACATTTGACAGAGGATGAAATGACACACAGTGGTTAAGTAAACTGCTCAAGACCACGGGCTACTGAGTGGCTGAGTTTAAATGTAAATTGGGGCAATTCAAAGATCATGTTCTGTTGTACCACACAGGCTTAGGTGCACTTTACTGAAGGTTTAATGAGACAAAATAAAAGGACAAGAAATTAGAAAATTATAAAGAGAATGCAAAATGTTATTCTGTGTTCGAATTTTCTCTTTAATATCAATGTACAGTACATTAAAGGAGGGGACATCACTACATATCCTACAGACCTTAAAAGGATAATAAGGAACTCTTTTTTTTTTTTTTTTTTCAATAGAGGGTCTTGCTCTGTCACCCAGGCTAGAGTGCAGTGGGGCAATCATGGCTCACTGCAGCTTCAACATCTTAGGCTCAAGTGATCCTCCTACCTCAGCTTTCTGACTAGCTGGGATGTGAGGCACACGCCACCAAACCCGGTTAATTTAAATTTTTCTTTGTAGAGATGGGGTCTCTCTACATCTGGTCTTTAGTTCTGGTCTTGAACTCCTGGGCTCACATGATCCACCCAGGTAATAAGGGACTATTATGAACAACCATCTATCAACAAATTCGACAACTTGATGAAATAGACAAACTCCTTGAAAGACACAAATGACCAAAGCAGACCCAAGAAGAAAGAAAGGTGACATGAATAGCACTGGTACCTATGAAAGAAACTGAATCTAGCCTTAGGAAATTCTAGAAAGGGCAAAATGAGACTCGGGGGAGGTGATTAACCGCAAAGATTAACTTTCCCTTTTTGGGCAATATTACTGCTCTCTATATATTAATAGATTATGAACTTGAATTTAGACTTATGAAATCCAGAAAAGGCAAAAATAGAGTCAGGGTGGAGCCTGGCTGCAAAGACATACAACAGGAGTTTTTTAGAGGAATACAAATCTCTTGATTTGGGGTGATGATTACACAACTATACGCAATCACCAAAATTCATCCAACTACAGACTTAAAATGAGTGAACTGTATTATTTGCAAATTATACCTTAACAGAGCAGGAAAAACCTTAAAGCTTGTTATTTGTTTCCGTTCTGACCATTTGTGCCAGGGTGAAATCATAATTAGTCATTAGTCATGGTTATGAACGTGGACAGTGATCATGTGATGAGCAGTATAATGCTGGCTGTGATCAAGTCATTCTCTCCCTAGCACTTCCACTCAACTCCTGGCGAAGACATTCACGTGAGTCCAAAGCAGCCTCCAGGGTTCTCATCTCATTCAGGCCAGGACCCCTAGGAAGACTCCACACTGATTCACCGCAAAGCACACTTTGGCCAGTAAGTGTACATTCGGATGCTGTGCCATCACTGGGGTGTATTCTCCTGGAAGCTGTAGTGTTGGCAAGCAATGAATAAGAACGAAGAATCCCAGCAATTGCTCTCTGCTTCTTGGTAACATGATTCAGATCTGGGCAGACAATGGGTACCGTGGGGTGGCATCTGGGATGCGGCAGGTACACTGCGAGAGCTTGCATACCAACGTTTCCTGTGGAAAAAGCAGAATCTGCTTTTGACGGAGATAAGAGGGTGCTTCTTGGACTGGCACAGGCTCTCTTAAACATAGGAGGCGATTTTGATTTGTGACCAGACATCTTTCCTGCCTCCACCCATTTGTCAGCCAGAACAGGAGGCCTTGTGTTAGACCTGGACGAACAGAATTAATGACATGAGACACAGCAGCTCTCACTCTACCCCTGAGTGTATCAACTAGAGAAGCACCAGGAGCAGGAAGCCCACTTCTGAAGTCAGCTTAGGAGATTCTCAATGCAGCGAAGAGCAAAAAGGGCACCAGCATGAGAAAGTTGAGAGAAAACTTCCCTGAGAGTGATGGCCTCACGGTATTTCCCAATAGGCAAACTGCAGGTGGGGAATATAAGGCTTGGATTTGGTTTAGAAAGATTTCTGCTAAAATAGAGAGTACTCAGTTCATAAAAGGTTAGGCCTCTGGACCTGAAAAAAGTCCATCCTAAATTCAATACTTGATAACAGGAAGGCAAGGTCAAAAAGCAGAAGGAAAAAATATTAGCACGCTTGAAATACACAGAAGTGAAAATGGTCTAAGAGACTTCTGCACTGGATGTCACCCATTTAAACAATGGACAAATGCAGTGTGAGAGAATCTTTCCTTCCAGGATGTGAGAATCACACACAGCAAACTTTGACCCATTTCTCTCAATTTGGTTTCAAGTTCTGGGTTGAATGCTCAACAGGCAAACGTCAGCTGGTGATGACGCTAGAACTGTGTCAAAAGAATATCATAGAGGATAAATTACCTGACTCTGCACTCGCCAACATATTCCCAACTCACAGGAAAGCACTGGTCAGAGAAATCAGACAATGTAAGATAGAAGCTCATCACAACAGGATTTCTTCACAAAACAAAGGAAAATGAGGCTGCAGCTGAAGTCGATTCTCGGCGGCCCATTGCTTAGTGAAGCAAGGAATGCCTGCATCAGCGGTGAGTTAATTAACAGCAGCAGCCACAGAGGCGCGTCCAGAGAACACACCCGTTTTCATGATTAGCCTTTCAGGGAGACCACCTGCTGGAGGAGCAGGTGAACACTGGGAGCAACATCCACGGCCAATTAAAACAAGGCAGGCCCAGGCGCCGTGGCTCACGGCTGTAATCCCAGCACTTTGGGGGGGCGAGGCAGGCAGATTGTTTGAGTTCAGGAACTGGAGACTAGCCTGGGCAAAATGGTGAAACCCCCTCCCTAGAAAAAAATATAAAGATTAGCTGAGTGTGGTGGTATGTGCCTGCAGTTCCGGCTACTCGGGAGGCTGAGGTAGGAGGATCACTTATGCCTGGGAGGTGGAGGCTGCAGTGAGCTGAGATTATGCCACTGTGCTCCAGCTTGGATGACAGAGTGAGATCCTGTCTCAAAATAATGTTTTTTTTTTTAATTTTTATTTTTTTAAAAAAGGCGGAGGATGAGCAGTGTTTGTCAGCTCTGGGCGAGTCTATGGATATTACTGACATGGCTCAGTTGTTTATTTGAGGAGTTCACATCAAGGTTGAAGTGAATGAAGTGTTAGGCTCTTTAAATAGTCTGTGTAGAATAACTACTGGCAAGAATACTTTCAAAGAAGTTGAGAAAACATGAATTTAGTAGAACCCAAAGTGGAATCCGCTAAGCTCTTGCAATTGACGGTGGTAAAAATGTATGGAACAGAAAAACAAATTACAAACTTACAAAGCTTGTCAAAATGTAAGGTGCTGCAAGCTATTCCTGTATCAGCAGGTCTTTCGCAGAAAATCTATTATGTGTGATTGAACCCATAGTGACAACAGTGAACGCCAATCCCTCTCATGGACTCAACCACCATCTGCTCTCTAACTTTTCATCAGAAATAAGCTGACCATGCCGATGTGTCCCACCATACACCAGTTTGATGGCTTAATAAAGTTTAATCCATTGTTTTGAGCTCAGAGCTGAGACTGAAACTTTTCTGAACAAGAACTGCCCTCACCACCATTACTGAGTTCGGAAGGGCTTTGGAAAGTAGCTTTCACTGCAGACTTCATAATGTATCCTAATAAATTTAACCTAAAACTGCAAGGCGAAACAGTGCTCATGTGCAAAACGCAGATTCTGTTAGAGTCATTTGGATGGTAACTGACACTGTCCCAATCACAAGTCACATCGAACTGCGTTCCGCACTTGCCATGCTAGTCAAATTAAAGGGAGTGAGAGCTCCATGCTCACCTCAGTTTGCAGTGGCTATACATTCTCACTTTAAACTACAGTGTGTTTGTGAACCTGGATTTCCATATTTCAAAGTCCATTTAGCTGTGCGGTGGAGGAGCTGTCATCTAACCTTCCACAGGAAGATAAGAATCTGCAGCGTAATACCATATGGAAAGGCAAAGATCAAGAGAAGAATCTAACCAGATTCCATGAGTGCCTTCCAAGTGATGACCACGCTCAATTAAAATCATATACACCTGGACTGATGTCAACGCTTCCATTTACAGAGATAAAATAACATAAAATCTAATTACAGATCAACATTAAGAGAGGAACATTTAGAATAGATGTTGATAATAGGAAACACTTTGAATCCCAATAAATGAAATGTTTTCTCTCACCAAGAAAAGAATTCTATTCTTCTCACTAGACACATATTACAAAAAACACACAAAGATATTTTGAATTTATTACTAAAACCTTTG